CATGATGCCCTGCTTCGCCAGCATGGACATTGCCGCAGCGTTCCCGAGCATCACGCGCGCGTGGTTGTGGGCTACTCTAAGGCGGTGGGGCATCCACGGCGTCTTCCTCAATCTCCTGCAGTGCTGCTACAACATGCCACTTGCTTTCCTCGACTTAGGTGGTACTCGTCGACCGCTACTTCTAGCAGAATCTTGGGTTGCGCAAGGATGCCCCTTGAGCGGCACGCTCTGGGCGCTAGTCTTCGATCCCATCATCAAGGGCATCAAGGTGGAACTTACAGCTCTGGGTAGAGGCCTGCTCAGCGCATGCGCCGACGACCTGGGTATAGTTCTTGCTGCACTTCGGGATCTTGGCGCTCTATTGCCACACCTGCAAGCTGCACAACATCACGCTGGACTCCGCCTTCAACCGAAGAAATGCGTCCTCGTACCCACCTGGTCCCTGCCAACGCCCGAGATCACCGCGAGCACGCGTGCCATCCTGACCCAGCTCTACGAGCCGTGGCAAGACTTCTCCATCAAGAGCTTTGCGCGCTACCTCGGCGTGCACATCGGCCCTGGTGCATCTCTCGACCATCAATGGCAAGGTCCTGTCAACAAGTGGTGGGGGCGCATCCAGATCCTGTGCGACTCCCACGCTCCCATCCAGCAGTGCATCAAGATGTACAACTCCGCTGCCATCACATGCCTCTCGTACGCCGGCCAGCTCTACCCGCCTTCCCCAGCATTCCTGTCCAAGGAGATTCACGGGCTCCACAAGCTGATCCGTGCTGCCCCCTCGAGCTTCACGAAGATGGACATCCTGTCGTTCACGCTATGGGCGTCCGCCACGATCCCGCAGGGTATTGAAACGCTTCTCGCAGCACCGATGTGGCGCGCCTCCACGACCACCATCTCTGGCTGGCAGCCTCTGCTTCGCACATTCCGTGCCCATGCTGAAGAACTTCTCCCGCTACGAGATGCAGTTGTTGGAAAATGGTCTGCTTCATGCTGGAGTGGCGCCACTTCCATCGCACAGCGATTCGACGACATACTGCACGACAAGCTGATCGCGACGGGCAAAGGATCCATCTTCATGATTCTCACGCGATCCACAGGATCTACGGTGAATGCCGCCCAGATACTTCAACGAGCACATGCGCAAGCTGCTGCTGCTGGACGACACGCTATCATGGCATCCCGTCGTAACAAGGCGGAGGATCTGTACACACACAGTCGTGACAGGACTGGAGCCCACCAGGCACCACGCCGTGACAGGGCTGGTGGCCTTCACACGCCCAGTCGTGACAGGACTGGCGGATCTCATCAGAGACAAGCTGGATTCATAGCTTCGACTGGTGCTACTTCGAGTGCCACTTCACGCACCTCCCCACAACAAGCATACCTACGGGAACTACAACGCCAGCTGTACCGCGACTCCTTCCACAAGACTATCCATCACCGTCTCCGCGCCTGGTTCCCACTACTTCCTGTTGAAAGTGGACCTCAGATGGTACCTGCCACGACCGAGCAGCCGAATGGGAACGACAACCATGACTCCATGAAGTACCTGAATGAACGTGCAGAAGCATGGGCAGCAAGATGGATCCCCAGCGTGTTCTTCGGCCGCGATATGGACAACTTCAACGACTGGATGGACTGGTGCGTCCCGTACATCACAGCTGTTCTACACTGCACCCAGTTCAATGCGCACTTCTGCCTCGATGACCAGTACGGGTCAGCCAATGCTCGCCGTGACATGGCGAAGGAGATATGTTACGGTGCATGGCATCGAGCTGAACGACCTCGCAACCACCGCCTACAGATCTACACCACCGATCACATGCCGACCAACAGTCACCGATAATTTGCTGGTGAAGCTGCTGAGCACCGCGCCCGCCGTCGCTGGATCGAACGGGAACATGCCACCAACCCGAACATCCCGCAGGAAGACGACGGCACTCAGTCTACCACTACGGCCACCTCCACACTTCACATCTACTCCGCCAATGACATCATGATGGACTCCGATGCATCCGACCGTGACGGACTTCTTGGACGTGCTGCTCCCCCTGCGAGTGTTGAGCACGGCTGGCGCGACCTGCGGCCCCACCTGGCGAACTCCACGGCCTCGCTCTTCTGGCCCGTGGTCAAGACCTTGTCTGGGGCGTGGACGACATCGCACCGCGTGCACGTCAATCCCCACAAGAAGAGCTGCCCGTTCGGCTGCGACAAAGACTCGCAGATCAAGAACACGGACGACATCAACCACTACATTACATGCCCGCGAATGTGGGCGCTACTGGCTCAGCCTCGGGGACAGACTGCTGGTGATGTCCTCACGCGGCTCTGGCTCCACGAGAGCGACAACATCGACGACCGCCCGAAGCGCACCATCACACGCATGGCTGTGGCCTTCCGCGCGTGCAACATCACGCGGGTGCACGCCGAGCTGGGCGCGCCCGCCATCCTCGACGAGCTCAAGTACCACAAGGAGGTGGTCGCAGCCGCCCGACGCGTCCTGAGGCTGCCTCGGTGCCTCGCGGGCGGCGCGGGCCCGCTGCGCCTCTAACCCGCGGGCGCGCGCCCCCTTCAGCGCGTCGTTCGCTCCTCCTCCTTCTCTTCCTCCTTTTCCTCCTCCTCCTCCTCCTTCTCCTTCTCCTCCTCCTTGTTGTCATCGTCATCCGTAGCCATCTTGGTTCAACTTCGAAGCGTGCGACCCTGGCGCTTCGAACTCGGACGCTGCCGAGGGGGCGGCTCGAGAGTCCGCAAGAGTTCCTCCTCTCTCGATCCCTGCGGCGAGCAGCCCGTGCGGCCGCAGGTTCGTCTCGCGCGTATTTTGCAGCGACACCCTCAACTCAGCACCCTCCACGGTATGGCCATGCTCGATGCCGGCGCCATGCGAACCATGATGATGGAGTTTCGCAACCTCAGCAGGCCAGCGCCGATTCGCTGGGCAACCAAATCGTGAACAGCATGACCGAGGTGAAGCGCTTGGACACCAGGATGACTAAGCGCATGGACGATTTCCACGATGCGGCGGAAACCCTTCCCGCCGACCTCGAGAAGCCAAGCGCCAAGATCGCCTCCCTCGAGATGCAGGTGATCTTGGTCAACGATGACAGCATGAGGTGTAGACATGATATTGCAGAAGATGCTGAATCCTTTGCTCCCCCACGTGGGCGTCAACGCGTCCAATTCGTCCCAGAACTTGATGCTGAATTTCAGGGCTGTTGTCAAGCTCGGGTCGGCGATTGTTGCCGCTACCTGGGTTGGATATTATTCGGCCGCTTCCGTGAACTTCATTCGCAGCATCCGCTTTTCGCTCTCTCGTGATGGTCCTGGACCTGATCCTGATCCTCCGCGGCGTGCTGGAGGCTAAATTCAAAATGGTGGGGTTTCCGACCCATGCAAGCTATGGATCCGCGGCTTCCCCATGCCGCTCCCGTTCGCCCTGATGATGACCAACTTCGAGCTAACCTAGAAAGTGCCGACCGAGCTCGGCAGCAATATGATCTTGCCCGGCAAGAACTTCAAGAACGCCTGCGCGTTTCGGATGTCATCCGAAGAAGATGCCGACCAAGTCTGGGCTACTGTCAAGAGCTTCGGCCTCACGTGGGCCGGCCCGCGTGACGACATGATCTACCTGGTATGCACTGGTTGAGACAATATTGTCCCCGTCCGCCAAAAAGGCATGTTCTTTGGATCGCAGACAGCCTGGTGACATGGGCAGCACACCGTTGCAGGGCCAGCTCTACCTTATCGAGAATGACGATCCATGGGGACGCGCATCGGTCAAGTAGGCTGGAGACGGCAAGAGCCTTGACATCATGCCATACGTTTCCAACGTCACGCATTTTGGCGATTCGAAGAGTCACGCTGAGGCTATCGGCGAGAGGACCCAGCTGAAGCTCAAAGGTCCCGAGTAGGAAACTACCCATCAAGTCCCAGCAAGTAGCACTATTCTTTCCTTCTCGTGCTCTTTCCAGCCTCTCTGCTGGGGGCCCTGTCTGTTTTGAGGAGGGTCGGGGCGGCCTGCTTGCTGCGCCTCCTGGCGACAGCCCTAAGCCGAAAACCTTCTTAACTCTTCTTAACTCGTCGAGCCCTAAGCTTCGCAGTTAGCAGCGCTCCCATTGTCAGGTATTCAGCAAGCTTTCCAGGAAGTTGCGTCGGGAAACGCACGGCTCGGCAAGTGATCTCGAAACCCTGGGTCGGCTGAACCCACCGTTCTCTCACTTCGGCTCCTCCTGAGACGCCATCGCGACGGGTCCCCTCCCGCCTCCGAGATTCGAACTCTTATCAATTTCTTTGCCAAGGCCTTCCCCCAGTTCAACGAGGTACCGCTGGGTGATGATTATGCCCGTCGCGTTGTGGTCGGCGATGTCGTTGTCTCTCTGGCGCGGTTGGACTGCTTGTGTTTCGACGTCCACACCGCCGAGCTTCTCGACCTCCACCCTCGCCCTGGGACTCTTGCGAATGCGTTCGGCAAACTCGAGTCCTCGGATCACTTTCCGGCGTGCGTGATCTTTCCGCCTAGTTCACGGGGTTCGCCACCCATCCTTTCCCGGGTCACCGAGCGCCCCGATGTCGAGGACAAGGCTTCGGAATTCTTGGAGGCTGCGCACTCCATCTGGGACCCCCCCACGAGACTCAGGATCCTTAAGGATTGTTTCTTTGCCATCACAGATGTTTTTTTCGAGGCCCGACGAGTGCCGAGCAGGCAGTTGCTGCGCGTTTGAAGGTGACGAGAGCTGGGGGGACTCAGTCTCGACTTGTTGCCAGTTGTCTTCATGCACTGTCTGAGCTCCAAGTTTATATCGATGCTGGCGGACGCCAGCTTGCTGACTGCGCAGGTTCCCACCAATTCCTCGGGCCCAGACTAGCGGATGGATCAATGATGAGCTGGGTGTTGGGCAAGACGGGCACGGGCCTCATGAAGTTCTGCACCCTCGCCACTTCGGAGCTGCTCTCCCAAGCGGCGTCGGACCTCCGTTGCGTCTGCTGCTCTGCCTGGCGCCCAGGTCTGCGGCCCCCTCGGGGAACGCGCTGCTGCTCTGGCGGAACACTGGCGAGGACTTCGCGCGGCTGCCCCCGGCGCCCGCGACGCCTGCGACCCCGTTCTCGAGGCAGTGCTTTCTGAGGTTCCGGAAGGCCCCACCGGAAAACTTGGTGGTCTCTGGTCTTGGGGCAATCTTCTGCGGGGCCCTGGGTGGATTCGGCTCGCGGGCCAGGCGGGGCACCCTGCGCCGCCTGCAAGGAGTGCGGGGCCAAGGGCCGTGAGATTTTATCTGAGGCGCGCGCCCACTTCCTGGGCTTCGGGGTCCTGCCCTCCGAAGTATGTCAATCATGCTCTGCAAGTTTCCCCACCCAAAGATGACTCCCCCTGGAGCGTCGGGTGCAGTCGCCAAACGTGCCGACGAGACCCGTCCCCTCGCCCTCTCCAACGCCGACAATTGAATCCTGGCCAGTGCCCTCGGGGCCCCTCGCCGGGCCCAGGGGCGACGCTGTTCCGGACATCCAGCGACGTTTCGATCAAGGTCGCAACATGATCGACGTCATCATTGCAATTGGAGCCTAACGGCTGCACGTTTCGCGCATCTATGGATGCCCACAGGCAGGGGCGCTGCTCTGGGGCGCCCGCGCTGCGCCCCAGCCTCTCGCCCGCGCTGGGATCTGCGCCCTGTGCCGGCCTTCGTTCTGCCTGCTATTCGCCATCCAGTATTGTTGCTAGTGCCATGCTTCGGGAGGGCATTCCTGGGCATTGGACTCTCAGTGGGATTGGGCTGCCCGTTATCAGGAATTTTGTTTGTGATCGCGAGGCTGCAAGCGTTGCTTTGCCCCCTCCATGCCTCGTCGCTTGCGTGCGACGACGCCGGCGCGGCATGTGCCTATGTCGCGCGCGCCGTTCGCTCATTCTCGACTTTGCGAGGCGAGTTGGCCCTCTGACTGGGCCGTGGGTTAACGCGAAAGAGACCGCGCTTGTCTCCACCCGGGATCAGGTCGTTCACGAGATTCGGGGAATCCCTCGGAAAACCGGGATGGATATTTCGGACCAGAGCATTTCGATATGGGCTCTATCTGGGAATCTGGATTTGTTTTGGCGGGCCCTGCAAATGGCGGGCTGCCCCCTGCGCCGAGTTCCTGGAGGGCGGGTGCATCGAAAGCCTGTGTCTTGGGCTTGCCCAAAGTCAGGCCTGCTGCAATTCCATCGCGTTCTGTGTGCTTTTGTACGTGATGGTGCTCTACCCAATCGACATCGGAAAACTGAGGATGCGCGGCTCCAGAGATTCTGTGTCCGTCGGTATGCCTTTTATATCGATATGCCTTGGTGCCCTGATCCTTTCGGTCATCTTGTTTGCGTTCGACATCTCGCGCGTTTCAACAAATCCGCCATATACTGAGCAGCGCTCTCAAGTCGAGCTTTCGATTCGTTTCTAATCCAGCACCACGCGTGGGTGCAGGTTGACAAAGAACGCCTTCGTGTGCTGAGTGAAATGGTTGGATGGACAGCTTAATATGCTTCTCTCCCTTGATAAAGTTACACCCGCTCTCTCTAGCCTCTGCCCGCAGCTTGATGGCGGCAGTGACGACGTCCAGTCCAAGATGTACATTGCCCTGCTCTCACGCTTCGACATCCCTTCCCTGCGCACCATGCCCACTCCCCGCGTTGACCACTTGCTTACCGATCATTTCGAGCATTCCGATCTCTTCGCCATCTGTTGTTACGCTTTCAGTGCGATGTTGCCTGCTTGCGAGATGTGTCCGAGGCTCTCCAGAGGCACTGAAACATGAAGGGGGCCTGTCATGATTATCATCATCAGCAGCAGCATCATCGTAAGTATCATCACAGTCGTCATCGCCATCATTTCCATCATCAGCATCATCGTTATGATCGTCACCACCCTCAATACCAACATCTTTGTAGTCTACACCATCACGATCACCACCATGTGCATGTTTTTCATCAACATCACCCTCATCCCCATACTCATCATCATCCTCACCTTCTGCATCAAAATCCTCAGCATGGTCTTATTCCGCCTCCTCACCCCCGTCCTCACCATCACCGCCGTCATTATCAACACCATCATATACACCACCATCATCATCATCATCATCATCATCATCATCATCATCATCATCATCCTCATCCTCATCCTCATCCTCCTCCTCCTCATCATCATCATCATGAGCATCATCATCATCATCATCAGCATCACCATCATCATCGCCATCATCGTTTCATATCCTAAGCTCATCATCGTTATCATCATCAGCATCCGCATCAGCATCTTCCTCACCATCATCGTGATCATCACCATCACCATCCTCATCACCATCACCATCCTCATCACCATCACCATCCTCATCACCATCATCATCTTCATCATCAACAATATCAACAGCCATCAGCATCCATCATCATCAACATCCATCACTGTCCATCATCATCATCATCATCATCATCATCATCATCATCACCATCATCATCATCATCATCATCATCAGCATCCACTATCTTCCATCAAAACTATCCATCATCATCATCATCATCATCATCATCCCTGGCGTCATCATCACCCTCGTCATCTTCGTGCTCATCATCCTCAGACCCCCCGCCGTAGAGCCAGCGGCTCCCGCCGCGGGGGCGCCGCCTACATCGGCCAGTGGCCGCGCCAGCTCGCCCGCAGCAGAGCGATGGCTCCGGCGGGCCGCGCCCTGGCCGTGCTGGCGCTGGGCGCGGTGGCCCCCTCGGGGCAGCGGCCCCTCGGCACGATCGGAGTGGCCATGGCGGGGAAGGATTCGGGATCCAGAGGAGGAGGAGGAGGAGGAGGAGGAGGAGGAGGAGGAGGAGGACGAAGTGGAGGAGGAGGAGGAGGAGGAGGAGGACGAAGTGGAGGAGTTCGAGGTGGAGGAGGAAGGGGCGACGTTGGTGGGAAGCGAACGGCATCGGGGTTCGAGGCTTTTGGATCGTTTCGCCGGCTCGCCGTGGTTTTCCAGCCTCGGGATGCCTTACAGTGGCTGCGCCTCGCCGAGGCTGTTCTGGGGGTGCCCAGATCGTCCCGAACGGCCGCCAGAGGCCCGCGTTATGGCCTGAACTGCGAGTTCTTCGCGTCGGTACGATCGGCATAACGACGGAAATCACGGCATGTGACGGGGGGGTAGGTTCAGGGGGAGTGCATCGGCCCCGAGTCGCCCATTCATAGCCGATAGGGGCCCGATGGCCCACCCTGCTCAGGAAAGTGCGGATTCGCTATTGTGGTTAATTGCCCATTCGTCGGCGATGTATCGCCGATTCCTTGTCAATGTACCCTCCTGAGCAAAGTCTCCCCCAACGTTTCCCCTCAAGCATGGCGACGAAAACCTTTCATAACTCCAAACAAGACCAACCAGCATCCTCAGCACTCCGATGCCCGATGCACAAGCCAAGGCTTCGCGTGCTGATTCGCCCAGTGCAGGCTGGCCTTCGCGTGACGAATCTGCAGGAGGAGGAGGAGGAGGAGGAGGAGGAGGAGGAGGAGGAGGAGGAGGGGGAACAGGAGAAGGAGGAGGAGGAGGATGAAGAGGAGGCGGATGAGAAGGAGGAGGATGAGGAGGAGGAGCAGGAGGAGGGGGAGGGAGAGGCCATCGTCCTCCCCCCCTTTCCTTGCGCTGCTCTCGACCCTTCGTGACACCTGGGGCACCCGCGCCGCCACCGCCCCCCCCCCCCCCCGAAAAAAACACCCACCTTCCCGTGCCGTTGCCTATTGCGAAGGCCTTACGGCCGGTGCCGCCGACCCTGAAGGGGGACGACACCGACTGCGGCGGCGGCGGCGACGACGACGACGACGATGCTGACGTGGGCCAGAGTCCTCAGGGATGCTTCTTGGGGTGTCTTGGGAAAGCTATGGGGGGCCTCAGGGGATTGTGAGGTCTCGTGGGAGCCTCTGGGGGGCCTTTTGGGAGCCTCGGTCTTCCTTGGGGCCTCTTGTGGACCTCTTGTAGGCCCCTTGTTGGCCCCCTTGGGGCGTCTTGGGAACCTCTTGGTGCCTCCTTGGAACTTCTGGGGGCCGAGGGCTTGAAATGTCCGTTCGGGTCCCCCGTTTGGGTACGCTCTTGGAGCCGTCTTGGGGGCTTCTTGGGCCGTGTTGGAGGCGTTTTGGGCTGTCTTGGGGTCCTCTTGGGCTTTTTTTGGAGCGCTCTTGTAAGCCTTTTGGGCCGTCTTGGGGCGATCTTGAGGGCCTCTTGGGCCGTCCTGGAGCGGCAGGGAGAGGAAACGCGAGAACGCCCAAATCTTTCAAACACCTACAACAAATCAATACAAGTTGTCTCTTGGGGCCCTCTCGTGAGTGGTCTTGGAGACCTCTCGGGGTCCTGGGGAGGTTTCCTGGGCAGTCTGGAGAGCGTGAAGGCGTTTTGGACCGATCGTTTGGTGATTGGGGGCCTTTTTGGACCGTCTCGGGGGCCTCTTGGGGCACTCTTGGCTTGCCTTGGTAATTTTGGCGGCCCTGGGGCCCCCGGGGGGGATGCGTATCTGTCCCCCCAGCCCCGGGGGGGGAAGCGTATCTGGGTGGCGACCCCCCCTGGGCTCCCCCCCCCCAGAGAACCTCCCCCCCTGGCGTGGAAGGGATTACAGGGAAGGGGCTTCCTTTCGACTTGATTACGACATGGCTAGGTTTTTCTCTCGCTGACAGGCTGGAGGAGGAGGGTGTAGGGAAAGGGGACGACGGAGACGACGACTGACGGAGACGACGGCTCGAACAGACAAGCCCCTCGCACACGCCGACAGGGTCGGCGGATTTGCGAGAATGATCCACGAGTTGACGATGACCAAGATGGACGATGCCCAACATCGGCACCGATAGCGTGGTCTGTTGACCACACCGCGTGGTGGGTCAGTGTGATTCGGGGTCATCGCATGGTTGTGGGACTCGGGCCGTTCTCCGAGGACGTCTCGGGCGACTGGGGCCTCCAGGGTCCCAAGTCCGTTCGGTGATGGACCGTGCTGTGACGTCCCTTGGAATCTCGAAGTCGCCGCGCGGTCCGTCGACCCCCAGCAATCCGTAAATCCTTCCCCCCGCGATGCAGTTCTGAAAACAGCAGACGGCTCTGGGAATGGGCCTGTTCCATCCGATCGGCGTTCATCTTTCATGGGAGCCTGCGCCTCTTCCAGAAGGTGCCCGCACCGAGTTTGGAGCAATGGCTTGGCCACCAATGTCCCACTGAAGTCGTTGTCAAAAGACATAGGGTGCAGTCTGCAGCCCCCGAAGACACAGTGCTAGGATTAATTCGTATCTCCCCATTCTGTGCTCCAGGTCTCCGCACGCAGCTCTCTGGCGACTGGTTGAGTGGATCGTCACCGATTGTGAACCTGCGCTGCCCTCGGTCCGAGATCATCACCGACAAAAAATGTAGGCCCCGGAAAGATTGGCGGTGAGCGAAGGGTGGGAAGTGAGACGGAAAAGGTCTTCTCAGAAGGTGGCGGGGCTCCTCAGAAGCCCCCCGGCCTTGTGAGAAGGTTCCTGTGTCTTCGGGAAAGGCTTAGAACACTTCTCAGGAGGCCCTGGGCCTTCCGAGCCTTCTGCAGTCCCGCCCCTCTGGACCCCCCCGCCCGCCCCGACAAGATGCCCCGAACGGGACCCCCCCCCCAGGCGGGCCTCCTGCTGCGGCCGTCGCAGGCCACCGCCCTTCTGCAGCAGGACGCCCGGACCACGCCACCGCGCTCTCTGCGCCGGGCCGCCGCCGCTGGCGGCCGCCGCCGCCCGTGCTGAGGTCGAGCATCGGGACGACCGGGATGTCGGGTGCTGCCCGAAGTCCAGAGGAGGAAAAGGGTGCTGACACCGCTACCCTTCCCTGGGCTTCCCATGTGTTGGGCCTCCTGGGAGGCCCTCGTCGCCACCGCTGGATTTGCCTCGAGAATCTGGTCAGAAACGAGGTCTGAGGAGCAGCGGTATCGGTACCTTTAGTTTTCCCCATGTTGCTAGAAGTCCACCTGGGCCAAGATGCCCTCAGGATTTCCAAACATGCCCCGACGGCATTCAGAGCACACCTCACGAGGCCAGGGGGGACCCTCATCAAGGAGCCCCCCAGAGAGGCCCCCCGGAGGCACAGGGGCTTCAAAATAGAGCGACAAGCTGGGGGCACCTTAGGCCAGGGGCGCCTATTGAGCAACCTCCGAAAATGGGTTCGAAAAGAATGTGTACAAAGACACCGACAGCATTTCCACTGGGGTCGCCGCGGGCGTTGTCCATTTGAGACAGAAGGCCGCTTTCCAGCAGTGGTCGCAGTTGGTTTTGGACAGCATTTGTTGTTGGGCATGATGCCAACTTGTTCCGTACCCATGTCGGGCGTCCAGCAAGCAGTGGCGAAGCGTCATTTTTGCTTATAGGCCCACCAGAGAATGTTCTAAGAAGCTTCCCAGACATCTGGCGTCTCGAAATGGTGGCGAAGAACCCCACCATGTGCAGCTGCGTGCACCGCAAGACAGGTGGAAACCACGGGAAGGGGCTAACAAAAGGGTGCGTGGGAAGGACGGAGCGGTGTTGCTTATGGGGTCGCAGAGGTTGGCCGTAACGGCTTACATCTGGATGTGACCCGTTACGGTTGATCTGCGCGTTTGTCGGCGCGGCCCTGGGGGGCAGCATGCGACGGGGCCTTAGGTGGAGCTCCCGATGAGGCTACAAAACGTGCGATGAGTGTGCCGAAATAGGCGCGGTCGCGTATGCGATTCCTGCCACTGGTGCCTTCGGTGGAGCTCCCAATGGGGCCAGGGCAACGCGTGAGGGGTGTGCCGAAATGTGCGCGATCACACGTGCGAGTCCTGGAACTGGGGCCTTAGGTGGAGCTCCCTATGGGGCCCCGAAACGTTTGAAGGATGGGCCGAAATTGGCGCGATCCCGCATGCGATTCCTGGAACTGGGGACCTCGGTGGAGCCCCCTGTGGGGCCGCGAAGCGTGTGATGGGTACGCCGAAATGGTGTGGAGAAGGTGTACGAACACAGCCACTAGGGCCCTAGGTGGAGCTCCATATGATGCCACAAAACGTGTGAAGGGTGCTCCGAAACGGTGTGGAGAAGGCATGCGTGCGCAACCACCAGGGCCTCAGATGGAGCTCCCTATGGGGCCACGAATCGTGTGAGCGGTGCGCTGAAGTAGTGTGGAGAAGGCATTCGGGCGCAGCCACTAGGGCCTTAGGCGAAGCTGCCTATGGGGCCGCGAAACGCGTGAGGGGTACGCAGAAACGGTGTGGAGAAGGTATGCGAACGCAGCCATTGACGCCTTAGGTGGAGCTCCCTATGGAGCCACGAAGCGTGTGATGGATGCGCCGGAACGGTGTGGAGAAGGCATGCGAACGCAGTCATTGGGGCTTTCGGTGGAGGTTTCTATGGGGCCACGAGACGTGTGATGGGTGCGCTAGAATGGTCTTGAGAACGCATGCGAACTCAGCTACTAGGGCCTCAGGTGGAGCTCCCTGGGGGGCCACGAATCGTGAGAGGGATGTGCCGAAACGGTCTGGACCAGGCATACGAACGCAGCCACTGGCACTTTATGTGGAGCTCCTTATAGAGCGAAGAGACGCATGAGGGATGCGCCGCGAACGCAGCCGCTGGGGCCTTAGGTGGAGCTCCCTAGGGGGCCACGAGACGTGGGAGCGGTGCGCCAAGATGGCGTGGACCAGGCATGCGAATGTAGCCGTGGAGCTCCCTATGGGGCCGCGAAGCGTGTGAGGGGTGCGCCGAAATTGGCACGCGGAGGGCATAGGCATGTATGAGATGAGGGAGGAGGGAGGAGGGGGAGCGGGAGGTGAGACGCGGGGCGCTGTCTCTTCAAAATGAGGATTCAACACAGGATGGTTGGAAGATCATCGAAATTTAGGTTTTTTTATAGTTTTCGGCTTCTCGGGGCCCTTCACCGGGCCTCGGGACCGTAAAAATAAACGGCTTTGGATGACAGGCTGGTCCCAGGGAAGTGGTCGAGAGATCGGGAGCGAATGTCTCGAAGAAATCGAGACGCTTGATGTCTGTTTTGTGCTTTGCACGACATGTTTTTCTAACGTTTCTGGCCGATGCAGTCTTGCTTCAATGCATCGCTCTCATGTTGTAAGAATGTTGCCCTTGTTCTGGGAATTTCCTTTTGCTCTACGAGAATGTCGTGGTAGGCCTACAGGGGTGCCAGGACGGTCGGTCCCTGCCTAACGTCGAAGCTCGTCGTCGTGCTCATCGTCGTCGTCGTCGCCGTCGTCGTCGTCGTCGTCGGCGACGTCGAAGCGGGTCCTGAGGAAACCGGGTCCTGAGATTGTTTCGCCGTTTTCGGGCTCCCGGAGTCCTCAACGGGCCCCAGGATCTGCAGAAGAGGAGTACCCCCCCGCAGCATGACACCCAGGACCACACACGCTCTTTGCGCCGGCCGCCGCCGCGGGAAAGACATCTGAGGCCCCCAAACAGTGTGGTGACCACACCGCAAGGTGAGTGAGTGGGGATTCGGGGACACCGCACGGTTTTGGGCGATTGGGGCCTCCACGGTCCCAAGATTGTGCGGTGATGGCCCGTGCGGTGAGGTCTTTTGGGATCTCGAGGTCACCGCGCGGTCTGTCACAAAGTTTTGGCACCCCCAAAGCCGCTGCCCGTCGATGCTCTTGTTCGTCGTCGTCATCGCTGTCGTCGTCGCCGTCGTTGATTCGTAGAGGAAGGAATACCGATACCGCTGCTCGTCCTGTGTACCCCTCAAGGGGGAGGAGGAGGGAGGTCCTGAGGGCGAGGAGGGGGAGCAAGAGGAAGGAGGAGGGTGAATGGGAGGGGGATGAGAGGGAATGTAAGGAGCAGAAGGAGTAGGAGGCAAAGACGGAGCGGGGGAGGAGGACGAGTAATCAGGTGGAGCAAGGAAGGAGAAAGGGCAGGAGGTGGAGGCAGAGGGAGGATGAGGAGGAGGAGGGGGAGGAGGAGGAGGTCCAGTGCAAACCCCAGACTCATCAACGATGTTGGAATACACCCTCCCTCCAAGCTCCCTCTTCACAGGTCCCTACAAGGGTTCATTTCCACTGAGGCAAGTGACCCAGTGGAGGACAATCGTGTGAAAATCCTGAAGCGCACCAACACACCATTTCAGGACTTCAACGCCACGAGTCAGCCTGACTGTTGCGTCCTAGAGATCCTGAACTGTGCCAGAACACTATTCCTGGGACTTCAACACAGCGAGTCAACGTACATAACTGTTGCGCCCTGTCAATCCTAAATGGCTCCGAAACACAACTTCTCGTACGTTTTCCATGAGAAGCAATGGAACTCTGGGCGAAACGCCCGGCCCGCCCTTCCGAATGGCTCTGGGGTGCGACAGGGAGGCGTTATTAATAAGGAAAAACAATAAAGGAGGACGGGCACGAGGGGCAGCAGGAGAAAGAGTGGCATGAGGGGCAGGAGGAGGGCCAGGAGGAGGAGGGGAGTATGATCAGGAGGAAGGAGGGAGGAGAAGGGGGGGGTGAGGAGGATGTCTGGCCATTCCGCGGGAAGGGTCGGAAGATGATTTACTGTGCATGTGTGTGTTGTGCATGATCGTTTTTTTGTTGTTTGCGTGTGTGTGTGTGTCACCATAGGCTGGGCGCGTGCATTTCTGTTGGCATGGCTGGCTTTCGCTGGCGCCTTTCGCACGCCTGACCCAGCCATAGGGTTGGCCCTAACTTCAGGGGGGCCGGCCGGTCTCTATCTTTCTCCTGCGGTTGTTGGGCCACCCCCTCTTTGGTGCGGCCCACGCCTGAGCTCCGTCCAGCGCAGGTTTCAGGGCCAGCGCCTGCTTTCTCTTGGCCGCGCCCAGCTTTCCGGGGCGACCAGTCTTGCAGTGCATGCCGGGCATTCTTGTGGATTTTCTTGCACGTGCACCTGGTGCCGCTGGCAGGGAGTACAGCTCTGCATCCGCCACATTGGTGTTTCTGCCGTTTTACCGCTCTGCGCCCTTACAGTCGAGCAGCGACATCCACAAGCTAGGCTTGTTCGCGCGAGTTTACGCCACCTACCCTTGCACTGCATTGCATGATCGTTTCGGCCTCTTCCGCGTGCATCCGCTTCGGTGTTTCTTTTTTTGCATGTGACTGCCCCCTATCCAGTCCACCCATCTGCTAATGTCTGCTTCTGGTTAATAGATCATACCCCCCAAATATGATGAATAGATCCCGCGAGGCGCGAAACGATTTTTTAAGTCACACGCGACAGGGCTCGGGGTGCAACCGCACCGCGGATGAGGACAACCGACATGAGGGACGCGCTGCTTCCAAGGGGGAGCACGCCCGCCAAGTGTAGCGCAGAGCATGTGTGAGCGTTGCGCATGTGAAGATGTGCGCTGTCCCAAGAGCAAGGAACCTCGTTTGCCCGCGGGCCCTGCAATGCGCGCTGCCTGTTGCATTTGGCTCGTGAGCGCGCGCCGCTCAAGAATCGAGCTTTCATTGGGGATCTGGCTTCGTCTGCTCGTCCTGCCTGCGTTTTCACGAATGGTCGCCGTCGTGTTTTTTTCCCATGGCGTGTGGTTGGTGCTAAACGCCAGTTTGACTTGTCCTAGGAATGCCCACCTTGCTCGCGGGCCGCGTAGCTTACTTTTTTGGACTGGCTACCTAGCAGCACCGCAGGGAGACCCCGCGAGCAGAGCAGGGAAACGGTTGCGGCGGTGTGGAGGGCAACGGCAGCGACGGCGAAGGCCCTTGCATCTGCCTCCCCTCCCTCCCGCCTCCTCCCCCTGCCCCCCAGTCCGTGGCAATTTTTGCCCGCGCGCCTCGCTGTTGCGGAGGCGATGCCGCGCCTGTCGCCCTGTCTCTGGCGGCCAGGTGTCGGCGCCAATCAGCGGCACCGCCGTGGTGCGTTTCCACCTGGCGGGTGTCCCCCTGCGATTCGTCCCAAGCAAGAGACATTTTCTTATTCGCGCGCCTGGCTTGTTTTTGTTTACCTACCGCCAGGTGGTATTTCGCATAATCGTGACACGGCTTGCGCGTCACGATGGTGCCGTCAAGTCGTAGCTGAAGGATATCTTTAAATATTCAAAGGCCTTGCGGCTGGTGCCGCCGACCCTGACGGGGGACGACGGCGACGACGACGGCGACGACGACGACGCTCGCGAGCCCTCGCGAGGGGGGCCCTGCTGGCATCGAGAACCCCCTGAGCCCCCCGCCCCGGGGACCGCCCCCAGCGATCCTTCCTCGGGACCGCCCACCCCCCAGCGGGGAAGGGATCAAGGACATTCCTCTCGACTCGATGTGTTTTCCCAGTCTTGCTGCTTCTTGGGGCTCTCTTGGGCCGTCTTGGTCGGACAGGGGGGGCTCACGACACCTCGGACCCCCTGGGCCTGGGTGGGGGGATGTCGAACCCCTTGGGCCTCCCCCCCTGGCGCAGGGAAAGGATCAAGGGGAAGAGGCTTTGTTCGATTTGTCTCTGGCTGGGTCGCTCGAGGAGGTGCCGAGGAAAGGGGGAGACCAGCGACGGCGACCCAAACGGAAAGACATCGCACACAGCTTGGTGCATCGCGACGGTGCCGTCACGTCGATGTTGGAGTGTGTGTGTGTGTGGAAATATATACATTTACATAAAGGTGTGTATATGTATGTGTGTGTATGTATGTATGTATGTATGTATGTATGTATGTATGTATGTATGTATGTATGTATGTATGTATGTATGCATGCATGCATGCATGCATGCATGCATGCATGCATGCATGCATGCATGCATGCATGAATGCATGTGTGTGTGTGTGTGTGTGTGTGTGTGTGTGTGTGTGTGTGTGTGTGTGTGTGTGTGTGTGTGTGTGTGTGTGTGTGTGTGTGGGGGGGGACCCGCTCCATCCGTTTGCATTCGGTCAGGAGATCCCTTGGAACGTCGACTTCGTTTCTCACCCCCTTTCCCTGGGAGGCCAGTTGCGCGGCTTGGGGCAACCACACGCTGGGTGGGCCCTTTGTCTCGAGCTCTGCTGCATGAATCCACTCGGGACTGAAAATGCTCGGGCTGTACCAGAGCTCCTGGGTGTGAAAGTGGAGACGTCCTCCGCCGCAGGACATCGGCAGGTCCTCCGAGCTCAAAAGAGCGACCTCTTCCCCCTGTAGGGGTACTCAACGGTTTTCGCTGAGGTCGGAGCCTTCTGGAGGTCCCCGGAGGAGGAAGCCTCCAGCCCAGACGCGGTCCCCCAAACGTGCCGAACGCCCCGACCCTCGAACCTTCCTGGCGTCGCCCTCCGCCTCCCTCCCTCCCCCTCTCCGTCGATGCTTCGGCGCGCCAGGGCTGCGGCCTGTCTGGCAGCTCGGCCCTCGCGGCGGAGCCCTGCAACGGCGAGGAGGACGCCGCGGGGGGGGGGCGGGCCCAAGGCCACGCTGACGGCGCGGCCCTGGGTATCTAGGGTATTTTGAAGCTCGGGCCTAGTGTCGCTCACAGGAGAAAAAAAGGTGCCGATACCCATGCCCATCTATCGTTTTCGCGGTTGTGGGCCTCCTGGGAGGCCCTCGTCGCCACGGCCGGGCTCGCCTCGAGAGCCTGGTCAGAGCGCACCCACCGGGAGAGAGGCCCGGGGGAGCAGCGGCACCCGCACCCGTGGTCCCCCCCACTGGTGGGGCTCGGTCGGGCCAGGCGCGGAGGCCCCCCTGCGGCCCTGCCAGGCGTGCGCCCCCGGGCCTCCTCTGCGTGGCGGGCCAGGGCGCGACGGGAGGTGTCTGCCCAGCTTCGGCCTCGGGGGCGCCCCGGACCTCGCGTCTCGGAGTGGGGTCGCCACGGAAGAGTCGTGGCCGCTCTCGGCCTCGGGGGCGCCCTCTGCCGAGCCCCCGGGGCCGTCGAAGAACGGCTCGGGACGAGAATGCCGAGTAGGGCATCGACTGCAGAGTTGATTTGCTCCAGGGTCTGAATTTCCCGTCGACTCCATGACGATTTCGTGGAAGGCTCGTAGATCTACGGAGCGTTCTGTGCATTTTCCCCAGAGATTCGTAGACAATCGAATTTGGGGTACATCAACTCTGCACTCGATCCCCTGCTCGAGAAAAGCCAGTCCGAGGGAATTGATGGGTCCAGGCCTTCGGGGGGTCTACGCTGTGAACAAATCGCGACGTCGGAGTTCATGACGGTAATGGCTTTTTGCCGCTTCTGGCCTCCAGGGGGCCTCTTCCCGGGACCGTCAGGAGACGCTCCAGGCTGGGAGGTCTGCCCCCGTGAAGGGGTAGAGAGGTCGGTACCGCATTGAAAAGGCAAGAAGTCGGAGTTCTGGAATGCGGTCACAGTCACCGGCAATAACGCCTGCGCTCTTGCGCCTTCGGCCCGTTCCTTGGCTGCAGATCCTGGTTTCATCGGCCCGATGCCATCGCTCCCTCGTGGACGTCCACGGGCCCTGCACTGCACTCTTGCGTTGCGTCCACACTGTGGGCTTCGAGCGTGCACTGCACCTTCAGGCGACCTCGTTGGGGCTGTGAAGAAAAAGCTCTGCGATGCGAGCGTGCACTGGTGCAGCCCTTCGCCCCGATTCTTCCTCGGCGCGTGGGGCTTCGATCTGTTAGCCCGCTCTGTCGCCCGAGCTTCCCGCCGCCTGTGCTGCTTCCTTTTCGGCCCCAGGAGGGGGCGAAACGCGGCCAGTGATGCACAATTTCAGAGAGGCCATCCGCTGTGTTTTCCTGGTGCTTGTCCCAGGGCGCCCGAGAGGGTCTTGGCAGACCCCGAGATCCGACGTCGTAATCAGACTGCAGCGCAGTGAAGAACCAAATCCTCTCGAGCTGAGCTGGATCGTCGGTCCGTGAGCCCCCTGCACGGTGCCCAGGGCGGAGCGCCAAAAGACGCTTACCGATTATTCGTCTCTTGGCGAGGCCCTGCAGACCCCAGGGCTCACAGCCTGGGATATGCCTGACCATGACTGGTGTCAGTTGCTCAGTGGCTGCCCCGCTCACACGCCCTCTCCAGTCTGGGGAGTCTCCAGGGTCTCCTCCTGGAGGCCCCCAGAGGTCTCCAGAGTCTGGGAGCGGTCTGGGAGCGCTTGGGAGCGCCTGGGAGCGTCTGCTGTTAGCGCCTGGGAGCGCCGCCTGGGAGCGCTTCCCGAAGGCCCCCAGATGACGACAAAAAGTGCAAAGCGTCCCAAACCTTCGATCTTCGACCCCACTCGTTCTTCTCTCCCTCCCTCGCTCGCAAGGTCTCCGAGAGAGCGCATTTCACGGTCGCTCGACTTGAAACATATATTTGGCGTGCGTTCTGCAAACTGCCCCCTCCCCAAAAGCTCCCACCCTGAACCCCCTCGCCCTCCAACCTTGTGAACTTGTGGGGGTGGTAGGTCCCCCACCCTGCCAAATCATGTAGCGAGTCTGCCGGTGAGGTCTATTTGTGGCTCCTCGAGCGTGTGTTGCGGCCGCTACTTTGGCGGGCATGCGCCCGCTGCGTTGTGGTCCCCAAGCCGCTTTCACAACATGGCGTTTTCCCAACGGCGGCTCTATCCACCCCCCACGTGTAGTTTCTGGCCTGACCCTTTTATCTTCCTGCTGGCCCTCTGTTTGAACGTCTCTCTCTCTCTCTCTCTCTCCGTAAACTTGGCTCTTGATACGGCGCGGCGGGAGCGCGCCAGGCGGCCTGGCCCGAGAGGCAATACCTAAGCAGGTGGATGCGGTGCAGCAGGGGAGGAACCCTGTGATCTCCACTCGCACGGATCCCCCCCTCCATCGGCTACGCGGCGGCGGCTGGAGCGGCGGAGCCCGCTGAGGGGAGCCTGGAGGGCCGACGCTGCCAGCGGGTGCTGGGAGCGACGCTGCGCGAGCCGCTGCGGACGGCATGGATGGCGGCGCTGTGCAGCGCAGGCGCGGCTGTCCGGGGTGGCCTTCGGGGGCGTGGCCTTTGGCCTCGGCAGTCGCGGCGGCGGAGTCCGCAGCTGGTGCGCCGCCCAGGGACCGGGGGGGCTCGCGCCCGGGCACTGCGGTTCGTCTACGGGCGCGGGCCTGGATGCGGCACGATCGAAATGGGTAATTATGGACAGAACGGGCCCGAAGACCGACAGCAGTTGTTGCCCATGTTGAACAGGACTCGCTGTAGGGGTCGTCGCGGACGTTGCCCACTTAAGACAGAAGGCCGCCTGCCCGGCAGCGGCCGCTGTCGGCTTTGGACAATGCGCGCTCAGTCGTCTTCTAGTATACGCTCGGTACTTGACTGCGTCTGGCCATGCCACCCGGGCAACAACATACCATGCGATGGCCGTGCTATGGGCTCGACTCGAAACGAGCGCCTCCAAGGGGGGCGCGGAGTACTGTGGTCAGGAAGTTTGGCTGAGCGCGTCGCGCGGCCCGCCCAGCTGGCCGACCTCGCTTCGGTCGGGAGTCTTGAGAGACGGGGGTCAGTGCAAGCGCGGGTCAGCCAGGGCGCCGGATCTTGCAGGATCCTGCAGAGCCAGGGGCGCACTGACCCGGGCTTGCGTGCAGGATCCTGCAGAATTCTGCAGGACCTCGCAGGATCATGCAGAGCCCGACTGTCCCCGGTGTGGATTTGCCCGGGTCGGTAAGGTCCCCGATTCGGCGCCGCACGCTCACCGCACGCCCCCGTTTGTGAGCGGCAGCGTCCCCAGCTCTTCCGAGCCTCCCGCCCCCGCGGAGCGGAGCGACACGCCATCCGCTCGCAAAGGGCGCAGCGTGTCTCCTGGATGCCGCCGCCGCGTCTCAACAAGCAGAAGGTTCCCGACCGCGGTGTGCCCCTCCGCGCCCCGCGCTCAGCGAGACCGCGCGGCGCGCCCTTCCCCGGGGACGGGTTCGGCGGGGTGCCAGCAGCGGCCCCCGTGCGCGGCGCGGGCGCGCCAGCGCGCGTCTCCAGAGAGCTGGAGAGTGGGGAATGGACCAGGCTGGCATCAGAAAATAAAGACGAGTCGTGCGAACAACATACAAACATATTGGTAGTTATGCGGTTCATTATCAGACTAGCACTTACATACGTTTTAAGAACAAGAAAACGAATAAGAAGCACACCAGCACCACTGACGATCACACACATCCGCATGATGATAGTGATGACCAGTGTCGTAATACGAACAACAAGAAGCGCATATAATGTCAGAAACTGTATGATACGTAACTTCTCGGAGTTCCGCACGGACTTCTTAGATCGGTGTTGGGCCCCCCGTGTCTCTGACGCCGCCCCTGGCGCACTCCGCGCGCCAGGGAGGGGGCCCAGCGCAGATCAAGAAACCCGCGCGGAGCTCCGAAAGTTTGTGCATGTTCCCGAATAACCGGAGTGACAAAAACGAGTGGCGGTAGTCCGGTAGACGACACAGCGCCCTCCCCCAGGACGGGTTCGGCGGCAGGTGCCCGTACCTGGTCGACGGCGCTTGGGCCGCGGGCGCTCGCTGGAGCTGTGCCCAGTGGTGCTGCCCCCTCCCTTCTCTGCCCTCACTGCCTTCGCCGAGAGAAGAAGGTGGGCCTGCCTTGCCGCCTGCCATGTGCCCCCCTCCTGGGGGAAGGAGGAGGAGGAGGAGGAGCAGGACCGTCACGTGAGAATGCGACCGAGTCTCGCTGGCCTCGAGCGCACGGGTGCCTCTCCACTCAGAGGTCGTCCCCTAAGCAGGTGGAGGGAACCCCGGATGCATCAACGATGTTGCAGTACACCCTCCCGTCCCCAGTCCCCTCCCCATGATTCCCTATTAGCGTTCCGCTTCATTGCAAGAAGCGCCCCTTCATTCACACTGTGGGCCTGCCATCCAGGCGAACGCCCTGGTTTGAAATAGACTTGCCTTCTAATCTTCTCTACCGAATTACCAAGAACGCGAGAAGCTGTGCCCTTGAACGAGGTCTCCAGCCCAAACCCCAGTTTTGAAAAGAACCGATCCCCCCGTTGGACAAAGTCGGAATCGATAGGCCCACTCTGAAAAGGGTTCGGGCTCCCTACCGTGCAGCTTCTGCATCTGTTCAAGCGGCTGGCCGTTTATTGCGATGAAGTCTCGAGCGAGAGCTACGGGAGCCGTTGACCATCTTGGTAAGTGGTGTAAGCTTGTAAGGCGAGTGTGCGCCTCGCTACGGCGAGAGCCCCGCTTGGAGAACGTACCGCCTTCCATCATTGCAGCTGTTGCAACATGTCGACGCATGTGCGCGGCGCTGAAGCGAGTTTTCAAAACGTACCGCTCACCATCCTCCACGCCTCCTAACTTTCAAGCGTTTCATGACGGGTGTGCGCGGCGTTGAGCCCAGTAACCCACTGTATAATACCGTGCCTCCCTCTGTCCTTGTAGCCGTTGGAAGTTTCTTTTCAACGAATCTGCGCGGCTTATTCAGCTTGCCGGAAAGCTGGGCCAGTTTCTTCATCACGTTCGCCCTGTCCAGCGGAAGCAAAATATTTGGGCCAAGGTTTGTTCTCAGAAGTTTCTGGGAAGCTGGCCCAGACCTCTTCAACTGTCTTGGTCATGTTGCCGGCTGTATTCTGGAAGGAGCCGCGCTCCATGGGAACTCCTGTCTCGGGGCCAGAGTTGGTGAGGAAGGCCCAGGCGACACGCCAGGCCTGCCTTGCCGACACGTCTAGCTGGGCCGACGAAGGGGGGCCTGTATAATGAATAAGGAAACGGGATGGAGGAGGAGGAGGAGGAGGAGGAGGAGGAGGAATGAGCAGGAGGAGGATGAGCACGACAAGGGCGAGCATGATGAACAGGACGAGAATGGAGGAGGTCGGAGGATGAACGCAATGAGGCATGATCATGATGCTGGTGATGATGATGGTGACGATGACGATGGCGATGACGATGCCGGTAATGATGATGATGGTCATGATGATGATGCTGATGATGACGATGATGATGCTGTTGTTGATGATGATGATGGCGGTGCTGATGATGTTGATGTTGGTGAGGATGAAGATGCAGATGCTGATGATGGTGCTGCTGGTTCTGATTATGATGATGATGGTGGTGCTGATGATGATGCTGCTGATGCTGATGAGGATGCTGGTGTTCACGACGTAAGTATTGATGCTGATGGTGTTATGAGGATGCTGATTATAATGATGATGGTGCTGATGATGCTGCTTATGCTGATGATAATGAGGATGAGGATGATGATGCCGCTGCTGATGATGGTGCACATGCTGATGATGATGTTGCTGGCAATGATGATGATGATGATGATGATGATGATGATGATGATGATGATGAAGACGGTGATGCGAATGATGATGATGACGATGCTGATGATGGTGATGCTGGTGAGGATGACGACGCTAATGGTGCTGACGAGAAGAGAAGGCTTATACTTCAGGATGTTGAAGATGAGATAGCGGAGGAGGTATGATGATGATAATGATGATGATGGTGGTGGTGGTGGCGATGATGATGCTGGTGAGGATGATGATGCTGATGGTGATGATGATGACGATGATGCTGATGATGCTGCTGATGATGATGAAGCTGTTAATGTTGATGTCTATGTTGGTAACCAAGATGAGCTGAAGGAGGGAGAGTCCCCCCATCGCGTACTTGAGGCATATGCGTTTTTGGCCGTATCATCATCGGTAGTGGTGCTGCGGTGAGTTCATAAATAAATGCCGCGCCTTTCTTTATTGTTTCCTGTCGTTTCTCTGGCTCATGCCCCTCCTCGGTCTCCTCCTTCTTTCCCTCGCCGTCGTGATTGTGGTCGCCGTCTTATTAATCGCTTCGCCCATTCCGCCGGCCGATATTGTCGCATAAGCGGACGATGAGGAGGAGGAGGAGGCTTGTCGATGGTTTCTTAGGGACCTGTTCAGACGAAATTGGGTCGTCGACCAGACGGATCTCTAGGAGACGTCCTGGGGTTTCTTGGGAGGCCTCTTGGGAGCCTCTTGGGGACTTCTTGGGCCTGTATTTTGGGGCGTTTGGGAGCTTCTTGGGGCCCTGCTGGCGGTCTCGTGAGGGATCTCGCGGGAAAGGGCCAGGCAGTTCGGAGTACCGTTGTTGGGGTCTTCTGGGAGCCTTTGGAGCCGTCTTGAGGGTCCTTTTGGACTGTCTTGCAGCGCTCCGGAGCCGTCTTGGGCTCATCGTGGGGGCATGTTGGGCCGCGTTGGTGCGAAATCGAGGGCCTTTTGGGGATTTTGAACGTTGTGAAATCTCAAAGTCGCTGATGCGACACACGTACGTTTTCCTAAGAAAAATGGACGATGTGTGCTTCTTTGGGCCTTCTTGCAGGGCCTGTTGAGGCTCTCTCGGGACTTCTTGGCGGCCTCTAGGGCTGTCTGGAGGTAACCCCGTGCTGCGCTAGTTGCTCGTTTCCTGTGCCTCCCCCCTTGTCCTCTGTCTCGCTCCATGAGCACGACTCCTTCCGCTCCCTCATCCGTGACATGGGCGCTGCCGCACTTGAGCGCCGCCAGTCCCGAGCTGCTGCCCTCGCCCAGCGCGCGGCTGCATCTGGAGACGCGCTCACTGCTGACGCCGCCAGGATACGCCAGCGTTAAGTGCAGCCGAGAGCTCAGCCCTGGAGGCCCAGAGGTGGCTCCCCGATCCTTTATGGCGCTCGCCCCGGAACCTTCGCAGGGGGCGTCTGATGGCCCTTGTGCCCTGCGCATGATCGAAGAGATCCGCGACGCTCTGAAACAGCACTGGGGTGAGGAGGTTCACAATCTAGGCGCGTCGATCCTGTTGATTCCAATGGGTACCTTGACGGCCTTGAGCCCCCTCCACTCGTTTTAGAGAAATAGTGGCGAGAGGAGTTCTGTCCGATGATGTTTTGAGGGCCCCTGCGGGGTTTACGTCCGCTTCAGTTCCTCTGCCAGGCCCCCTTCCCGGGACCCCTTTTAATCTTTGCACCTGGGCCGAAAGCTGGTTCCAAAGGCAGAAGCAAAGGGCGTGGGCGGGGAGGTCGCGGCAGGGGTCTTGCTGTCGGGTGATGCCCCGCGCCTTTGGAGCCTGCCCCCACCTGGCTGCGTGCCGAAATGGGGGGGTGCAGGACGGGCCAGTGCCGCTTTGCGGAGCGCGCTGGCGAGATGACGGTCAGGGTGGATTCGAAGTGATCCGACTCAGAGCTCTTCATTTTTTGGAGACTGGTTTTCCTCGAATCCCCAGTCACGGGGTACCCTCGGCAGGACTCCACCAGTTATGACCTCCTCCTCCTCTTCCTCCTCCTCCTCCCCCCCTTCCCGTCGGTGCGAGCTCCACGGCTCCGCGTGCTTCATGGCGGTCCAGAGCGACCAGTGCGCCGCCAACACGTTCGACGAGGCCACCTGCGACGATCTGCACTCGGACGCCGCCGTGTGCGCGTGCGAGGGCCTGCTAGCGCCGCCCGCCGCCGCAGGCTCGCCGCCGCGCCGGAGGCAACGTGTCCGCCTCGGCAACGTGGCCACGCCAGCACCGGAGACCCGAGGGGGCCCAGATCCCTTGTGCGTCGTGACGAAAATCACGACGGGAGGTGTTTGGTGATTGTCGGCCCCTTGGGGCCCTCGCTGGGCCTCGAGCCGTCAACAAAGCGATGTGGCATGAAAGACCGGTCCCTGGGAAAGGGTCCAAATCTATGGGGTCCACGCTGGGGAAAATTTGCGACGTCGGGGGTCTGGGGGGCAGGAGGTGTCTCCACACGAAGGCAGGGAGGGGGTCGTGGAGGTTTTTCGCCTGTTCCTGGCTTTCGGTGCCTTCCCCAGGCCTTGCGGCTGTAGAGAAGAACGGCCCAGGAGAAGCCAGGTGGATCCAGACCCCGTTTCTGTCAGGTTCCGCCAGGGGCTCGTCATTCCAACGGATCTAGGGTCGAGGTTGGTGGACGTCGTTTGGACATTTGGAAGCTTCGGAGTACATCCGGGAACCTCATCAGACCACTGGAGACTTCTAGTGCTTCCAGAGGAGGTGGCGCAGATCGGCTTCACGACGACCACTGAGCAGTATCTGTTTGACGGAGGACCAGCCCTCTTGCCGCTGCCCCTTCCCTTTCCCGCCGGTCCTCTACCTCTTCGCTTCCGCTCCCCGAGTCCTTCCATATCTCGTCTCTCGTCTGTCGTCTGTCCCTCTTTCCTCTCCCCATAATGTTTCCCTCCTTCCTTCTTTCCTGCGTTTCTTCCATCCTCGCTTCTCACTGCAAATGCACGCGCAGCTGGCAGTGCAAAGGCAAAGATAGAGTCGGCACCTTGATGATGATGACGATGATGGTGATGACGGTGATGACGATGATGATGATGCTGATGATGTTGATGATGATGATGATGATGATGATCATGATCATGATGATGATGATGATGATGATGATGGTGGTGGTGATGATGGTGATGATGATGATGACGATTGTGCTGATGCGGATGCTGCTGATGATGATTACGATGCTGATGATGGTGATACAGATGATGGTGATGCTGGTGGCGCTGATGATGATGCTTCTGGTTATGATTGGGATTCCGAGTCGTACGATAATGACGACGATGACGTTGATGATGATTAGTATGATCATGGTGATGATGAGGAGGTTGATGAGACTGATGGTTATGACGATGATAGTGATGATGAGGATTGTGATGATGGTGATGCTGATAATGATGATGATGATGATGCTGATGATGATGATAATGATGATGATGATGGTGCTGATACTGCTGCTGATGATGATGCTGCTGATGATGTTGATGATGATGATGATGATGATGATGATGATGATGATGATGATGATGATGATGATGCTGGCGACGGTGGTGGAAATTCTGATGATAACGGCGGCAGCTGTCCTCTCTCATGTCTGTTTCCTGGTTTTCATTCGCCAGATATTTTGTTATTGCGGAGAGTTCTCCTGGCTACCAACAAGCAGGTGCCTCTTGACCGAAATTCTGGTCGATGTTCACCACGGTGGGGGTGCCGTGGTCGCCGTTTCGGGAGATGGGCTGATGTCTGCGAATCTGGGCCCTGGAGGTGCCCCAAGCCCTTCCTTCGCTCTCTCCGCCTCTGCTGTGATGGCCTTCGCCTTCAACCCGTGGTTTTTATGCGATTGATGTCTCAGCTTGTGCACCCTCATCTTCTCGACGTCCCTGCACACCCTCCCCGGTCACCACGCCGCCCCGCGTCATCTCCTCCTCCTCCTCCTCCTTCTGCCCTGCCTCCTTTTCGTTTGCTTTCTCCTGCTCCTCTTTTTGCTTTGCTTTCCTCCTGCTGCTGCTGCCCTGAGACCCGAAGTTCCGAAACAAATGAATCACAGCAGACCATCACGACCGGATCCCCAGACCCCATCTTTCTGATGCATTTTCAGCGGGATCGATCTGTGATGGCCCCAGGGCCCCAGGGCCCAGAACCGAGCGAAAACGCCTAGTGTGAAAACAACGCAAACATTGCAACGTCCAGATCTCAGGGTCCTCGCACGCGGGGGGTCGGACGATCTTAGAATCAAGATCAATCCGGCCCGGAGCGTTCCCGAACGCTCTCACAGCGTTCCAGAGAACGCTCTGAAACGGCCGCGGCGCCCGATGCAGCATCCAAGCCCGCCAATTCTCAGAGATTGCTGATTTACACCGGTCCAATTTTGTCTCGGTTCTCCCTTCGTCTTAGGGGGGGAAGCCTGGCAGGATCTCCCGACGGGCAGGCCACATGCGGGGCAGGCACTACCGAGGCGGTGTCGGACGGCACAGCCGACAGGCCCTTCTGCAGCTGGCGCAGCCAGTGCACCTGGGACGCCGCCGCCATGGCCGAGTGCGCCACGGCTTTGTGTCAGGCTTCGGAAGAGGAAAAGATACCCGAGCTCCCACTCTTCGCCCGTTTTTTCCTTTTTTCGGCTTCCTGGGAGGCCCTCGTCGCCAACGCTGGATTCGCTTCGAAATTCTCGTCAGAACGCACCCCTGGAGAGGGCCGTGGAGTAGCTGTATCGGTACTTCGGGGTTTCCCCAAGGCTGGTGGCTTCGCGGCTGGCGTCTTCGTGTCCGCCTCCAACGACCCGTGCGCAGCTTTGACGAGGGGACGAGGGCCTCGATCTCGAAGAACAAGAGAATGGCATGAACCAACTTTCGGAGGTCCGCGCGGATTTTTTCGATCGACGCTGGGGCCTCACTGGCAGCACCTGTAGCGCCGCCCTGGGCGCGCTCCGCGCGCCAGGTAATCAGAGGGGGGTCCAGCCCCGATCCAAGAAATCCGCGCGGACCTCCAACAGTTTTGGTTTTGCTCGTTCCTCTATGAGCTGTCTCGGCGGCGCGCCGAGGGGGGAAGCGAGGGTATGGCAGGCCTTCTCAAGGAGGCGGCGGGACTTCTCAGGAGCCCTCTGGGCCTCAAATGAGCCTCTCTGTGGCTCCGCAGGAGGCTCAGGAAGCTTCTCAGAAGGTCGGCGACCTTCTGAGCCTTCCCAGACCCTCGACAGCATGATTTGTTTCGTAACGCGAGCCCCCAAAGGCCTCGACCCATCCCCCCGGGACCAGCTTTCCATCTCGAGTTGATGTTTGACGGCCCCGAGGCCCGGCAAGCGCCCCAAGAGGCCGAAATTGGGGGTCCAGTATGTAAGTAATGGGGGGGGTGGTCAATGGGGGGTAAGCGAGGGCTGCAGAAAAGGGGACTTTGAGGGCTCAAAAGGGGGCCTGTCGGGTCCAAGAAGTGCGCCTTCCCCCCCCCCCCCTTGATTTACCAGCCCCATGGATCCACACCCAAGTCCGCGGCAGCCAGCGGGAGCAGAAAGAGGGCGGCCCCGCCAGCGGAAGTGTGGCGGAAGCCAGCGGAAGTCAGAGCGTGCCCCCCGAAGCAGGTCGACGACGGCACGACCAGGGCTCCCCCGAGAGAGTCCAGGCCTCCCAGATGGACTCCAGGTGGATGGGGTCGGAGGATCGCGCCGCATCGCCGATGCATTGCCGATGCGGCTCGATTTGGAGCCCGATGTTATTCACGCCGACGTCGCCGAGGCATACCCGACGTCGCCGATACATCGTCGACGTATCGGCGATACGGCGCGATCCTCCGACCCCACCTTCTCGGACTCCATGTGGGAGATCTCTGCAGAGTCGGCCAGTTCTGGGCCGGTCGGCCCAGCTGTCGCACGCGCTGCTTCTCGGGCGAGGGGCCGAGCTTTCCCCCCTTTCGATGTCCTGGCGCAACGAGGCCCCGCGCAAGAAGAGAGCAGCACCAGCCACCCCCAAGCTGACCCTCCGGCCGACGCAGGGCTCCCGGTGGGGATCTTCTCTTGTCGCCATCCCTCTCCTCCGACGTCGAAGTTTTTTGTGACCTCGGCCCCCCAGGGATCTCGACCCTCCCCCCAGGGCCGGCTTTTCCGCCTCAGCTGTTTTGTGTTGCAGTCCTGTCCCCCCCCCCAGAGACGGCCTCCAGAGGCCGAAACCGACGAAGAGCCCACAGTCACGATTTTTCTGCAACGGCCTGCTCTGAGGGATGCTGCACTGCTGCAGTGGATCGCGGTTCGCCGATGCCTCGACCGGCCAGCATCGGCGCGACGGGTTGGGCCGCCAGTCCACGGAGTGCCCCGCGCTTCGGGGCGGCCGTGCCAGGTCGTGGGCCCATGCTCGGGATTGGCAGTTGACGAGGGGCTCAAGGACGGTGCAGCAGATCTGGGGTCGGTCCTCCCGGCCCCCCCGGCAGGTGATCGGGCGGTCCCGCCCCCCCCTCATGATCACCCGAAGGGTTGTCCGACATGTATCATTTGTTGAATCTGTCAGTCTTTCGCAGACTTTGGCCTCGGGGGGCTATTCTTGGGCTCCAGGAGAATCTACACGTACATCGGCGCGAAGAACTGCTCCCAGGGAAGATTTCGGGAGCTCTGCCCCGCCCCCCCCAAGGGGTAGATGGAGCGGTCCTTCCGCAGTAGGCAGCTCCAGCGGTCCAGATCCCTCCAAGCTTGTAGTTTTGGTGATCTGGAGCCCCGCAGCCAGCAGATCTCGCGGTCCGGCCCCCCCCCCCCGAGTTGGTAGTGCCCCAGGAGGAAACTCAGTCTAGCTGCTGGCTCGGGCACCGTAGCTGTCAGATCGACGTGGCGGTCCTGTGGGCCGGGATCGGGATCCTCATCAGAAAGCGCTTCTGCATAATTAGTTTCTGGGGGGCTTCTCTGAGGTGCACGATGAGCTTCGCTCCAAATACAGGATCTGATTGGTTCTGGCTGCTGGACGACGACGAGGTAAAATATACCCTGGCCAAGATGGACGCGCAGGTCACCGCCTGCTGCGGGAGCGCCACGACCACTGTCATTAGCACTGCGATGACACCTGCTCCCACCAACGCTCCCACCAGCGCTCCCACCAGCGCTCCCACCAACGCTCCCACCACGACCACTTTCATCAGCACTGAAGTGACTCCTGCTCCCACAAACGGTCCTTTTACGACCACCGCGATGACTCCTGTACCTACTCCCGCTCCGACGACCACCGAGATGACGCCTAGTCCTACGTCTGCTCCAGTAGCAACCCCTGCTCCCACTCCTGATTCGAATGTTTTCATCACGACCACCAGGGCCAGCACGACGCAGGAGCTGGGCACAGAGCCCGTGGACCAGACAACTGAGACGGTGACCTCACTGACTGATACGCCGGTGTCGGTCACGGCAGCAACCAGCACGGCGCTGGGAGGGACCACGATCCTGGACCCAGACGCGAGCGCCTCCACTGAGACCACGACAGTTGGCCGCACTTATTCCACCACGTACGGCCTGCAGTCGAGCACCACCCTCGATCCCATCGCGACCGCTACGCTCAGCACGATGGGGTCGACGGTGACGACCACACCGACGACCACGCAAACCCTGAAGTGCTACGACGCCCCATCAGTGCTACACGCACCCGACACGGGCACGTGCGCTGGGACCCCCGATGGCAGCGCCTGCGACGTGCAGTGCGGAGACGGCTACGTAATGACCGGGGTTGCGGCGTGCCGGGGCGGCGCGTGGGACGTCACTGGGCGGTGCGTCCCCTCGGGTACGCAGGCGACGACCCTGTCAGTGGCGGAGGTGATCATGCGGTTGTCCGCCTCGAACGGTTACGAGTGGGCCACGGAGCACCAGGCCGAGATCGAGGCCGCCATCGAGGCGACCCTCGGCACCCTCGACTTCCTGGTGGACATTTTTCCGGTAAGCAGCCGGCGCTTGACAGGCGGCTCTCAGGACATCTCGCAGGCAGATGAGTTCGATATCGTCGTCACCGTCGTTGTCGAGGGGGCGGCTGGCGGCGAGGAGCAGGCGGCCTACGACATATGGAGTTCCTTGGCCGGCGGCTTCGTGGGTAGTCTCACGTCCGTGCTGGACAGCGCTGGCGAGCCAGTACCAGGTGGCCTGCGGCTCGAGACCATCGGGGAGCCCGTGGTGATCCCGGAGTACGAGATGCCGCTGAAATCATGGATCGCTGGAGCGTGGGGCTCCTGCAGCGCTACGTGCGGTCAGGGCACGGAGGCCCGGGACGTCTTCTGCTCCGTGGGCGTGCAGTCGACCTGCGAGCGCGCCGGCGTCGGACCCATGCTGGCAGCGGCCCGGGAGTGCGAACAGTTTGTCCAGTGCTCCTTTGACCTCCTGTGCCCGCTGGGACGGGACACCTCTCTGGGCTGCGGCGCACAGCTGGCGCTCATCGTGGCCTGCGTCGCGCTGGCTGGGCTCTGCGTGCTGGCCTGCGCCTGCGCGCGCCTCTACGCCATGAGCCGGGTGAGTGCGACGGGGCACGTGAGCATGCTGGGCGGCATCCAGGCCAAGTATACCATCGAGAAGCGGAGGCAGCAGCAGCAGCTGCAGCAGGGCAACCAGCCAGACCTGGAGCACGGGAGCGTTTCGCTTAAAGCCGATGGTGGCAAGACGCACATCGTCTGGGAGGTGGACATGGACAAGGTGCAGGAGGTCCTGAGTCCCAGCGCCTCCGTGGTGGACCCGCTCGGCGCACACTCGCCAGCCGCCAGGCGCCGCGGCAGCGGCCTGCTGCGGAAGTGGTCGCGGGTCTCGGGCGGCTCCATGTCGCACACCCCGTCGCGGGCCTCGGGCGGCTCGGGGGACGAGGCTCGAAGGAGAACGAACAGGCATAAGCATAGGCTTTCGGAGGTCCGCGCCGATTTCTTCGATCGGCGCAGGGACCCCCCTGGCAGCGTCTCCGGTGCCGCCCCTGGCGCGCTCCGCGCGACAGAGAGGAGGTCCAAGAACTCTGCGCGGACATCTGAAAGTTTCTGTTCACGCCGTCGTTTGTTCTCTCTTGGAGGAGCTGGCCCGGCGCATGAGGCACTGGCTGAGCGAGCAGGAGTCGAGAGAGGAAACAACGCCCCGACGCCCAATAACTGGCGCTTATACTAAGCAGCTCTGGGCGTTTACTTCGCAGCGCCCTGCCCGGCTCGATTCCTTGGGTGCGTTTACCAAGCAGCTTCGTCCGTCGGGGTGCCTACGGTTGGGATCTTTGGCTTAGCGTGTCGCGCCGCTGGTTCTGGCCCACCACGCTTCGGAGCGACACGCTATCCTCGGCCCAGTTCCCGAGCGTCAATGTCCCGAGCCTTTCCTCGCATCCCGCCCCGTGGAGCCGAGCGAAGTGCTCTGAGGTCGTATGGCATGGCATGTCGCCGAAGGCCGCTGGCGCGACACGCTCAGCAAAAGTTCCCGACCGCCGTATTAGGGTGGTTCTTTCGGGCGGGGCTAAGACGAGGATGAACCCGTTGAAGATCGTTCTTGAACGCTCCCAGAGCGTGCCGGAACGCTCTGAGAAGGCCGTGGCGCCCGAGACATCTTCCAGAGCCGCAGGATCTCAGAAATTCTCGATCTATCCTCGCCCGATGTTACTCTCGTCCTGGCTTCGTCTTCTTCTTCTTCTTCTTCTGCCGCCCGAGGAGGTGGACGAGGACGAGCTGGACGACCGCATCGAGGCCGCGCTGCTGCAGGCCCGGCGCTCCGCCCTGAGCCTGGTCGACCCGTCGGGCAGCCTGGGGCCTGGCGCCGTGGCTCACCGCCTCAGCACCGAGGCCGCGCAGGCGGCGCTTGCCGTGCCGGGCGGCGAGGCGGGGCAGCCGCGGGACGTCTTCGCGGCCTATTCCGACAGGCATTGAGGACGACTAAGAAGACACACGTCAAGTACTCGACGCGGAGATCCCCATATGTGCATACCATTGCACCTGTCACGTCACGCTGAGGGACTCTGTCTGCGAGCATCTGGGTGCGAGAGCGGGTCCGCGTGGACAACGGGCGCGACGTCGACGACGGTTGCGGCGACTTAAGTGACGTCCTCCTCCAATGGACATTTTCCAGGAGAGACGAGAGGGGGATTCCTCTTGCCGTTTTCATTGCGGTAGCTCAAGCGAGCGCGCATGGCGTTGCTACTCCCGCTCTTTGTCGTGATACTCGCGGCGCCTGCTGGCATTTTGGGTGCCCAGATGCCGCGCCAGCTGCATCGTGGGAGCCACCTTCGCGTGAGCATTAGAGCGAACGAGTCTGGTTGTGAGTTATTTGGGTGTGAGAGAGTCGGGGTGCGAGCGGACCTGGGTATGATTGAGTCTGGTTGCGAGCGAATATGAATGCGAATGGGTTTGAATGCGAGTGTGCCTGAGTATGAGTGTGTCCGAGTGCGAGCGTTATGAATGCGAATGTGAATATGAGTGAGTTTGGGTACGAGGTAGTATGAGTATGAGCGAGTCTGAGGGCTGGCGAGTCTGAACCGAGCTGAGTCTGAGTGCGAGTTAGTCTGGTTGCTGGTGAGACTGAGCTTGTGCGAGTACGAGTATGGGTGAGTCCAAGTGCGAGCGATTCTGAGTATTTGTGAGCCTGAATACAGTGGGGGCCCATGCCAAGAAACACCCTGCTTGCCTCCAGGGTGCCCTGGTTTCCTTGGGTTCGATGGTTTTGCTATGGGAAGCATGACGTTCCCACGCCAAAAAATCAATGGACGCCCTGGGGTCTCATGGTTGGATTTCTTGTCGACTGGTCTCCATTGTCTTGGTGAGTCAGTATTTGATGCATGGGTTTGGCTGAAAAGGAAGGGTTGATGAGCACTGCAGGACGTGAAAGCGATCGTACGACTACGAGCGAGAAACATGAACGGGAAGAGGAGGATGAGGAGGAGGAGGAGGAGGAGGAGGAGGAGGAGGGGAGGAACATGGGGGAGGAGGAGGAGGAGGAGGTGGAGGAGGAGGAGGAGGTGGAGTTGGAGTTGGAGGATGAGGAGGAGTGAGTGAGTGAATGAGTGAGTGAGTGAGTGAGTGAGTGAGTGAGCGAGTGAATGAGTGAGGAGCACACAAGTTCAAAGAGAAGTCAGCGGGGGGAGAGACGGGCAAACCGCCTGACACATCGCCACAATGTGAGCGCGACTCCTGGAGTGTCCCCACCCTGGCGGCTCCCCCCATGGGGTGCTTAAGTTCCACGCGTGCTATATTGCGATTAGCAGTGGACTGCCAAAAGAGACATGCTTTGGTGGCGGGCAGAAGCAGGTAAACCGTTTGAGACATCCTCCACAACCTGGGCGTGAACGGGCCCGTGATATCCTCCCTGGCGGCCACCCTTTGGGTTGTTGATACCAGCGCCTCGCATGAGATATTCTCGCGATCTACTGCGAGCGCAGACAAGTCTGGCCACCCAACCAGGCAAGCCGCTTGAGACATCCCCACAACCTGGGCACGAACGGGTCCGTGAGATACCCCCTGGCGGCCCCCGCTTGGGTTGCTGAGTCCAGCGCTTTGATTGAGACATCCTCACAGTCTACTCTGGACGCAGACGACTCTGGCCATAAAAACAATCAAACCGCGTGAGACATCCTCACGGTTTTGACGCGGGCGGGCCTGTGGTATACCCCCTGGCGGCGGACGGGTTCGTGATATACCCTGCGGCGGCACCCCATCGGGGTGTTGAAACCAACGCGTTGCCTGAGACATCCCCACAATCTGCTCTGCACGCAGACGAGCTTGGCAACCAACGCAAGCAAACCGCTTAAGACACCCCCACAATCTGGACGCGACCGGGCCCGTATCTTCTGGCGCCCCCCTCGGGTGTTGAAGCCGGCGCCTCGGTTGAGGCATCCTCACATTCTGATGTGAACACAGGCGCCTCTGGCCACCAAGACAGGCACACCGCGTGAGACCCCCACAATCTGGAGGCGAGCGGGCCCGTGATATACTCCATGACGCCCCCCCCCACCGTGTAAGTGCTGAAACCAGCGCCCCGCCTGGGACATCCTCGTTCCCTGGGCGCGGACGAGGCTCTAAGTGTGATTGGGTCTGGTTGTGAGTGAGTGTGAGTGGCCCGTGATGGGTGTGAGTGGTCTGAGTGTGAGTATCAGGGTGATGTGAGAGTCGCAAGAGGAAGGAAGAGAAAACGGAGAGGGAGGAGGAAGGTCTGGAGGTGTCAAAGTAATTACTCGACGCGGAGATCCCCGTATGTGCAGATCATGCTCCTGTCAAGTCTCGCTGGGGAACTCTGTCTGTCGCGCAGATGACGGGCGCGACGACGACGACAGCGACGATTTCAGTGACGTCCTCCTGGTTTTTGAGGGCATAGTTCAGGAGCAGGTGATGAGCGAGGGAGCATTGAACAATCAAAACAGAGAAGACTGTGAGTTGATCTGAGCGTGAGTGATCTGTGTGTGAGTGCGCCTGAGTCCGAGTGAGCCCAGGAATGATTGTGCTTTCGTGTGGGTGGGTACAGTACGCCTGAGTATGCGTAAGTCTGTGTCTGATTGAGTCTGAGGGCGAGTGAGTCAGAGTGTGGGTAAGTCTGAGTGCCAGTTGGTCTGAGTGTTAGTTTGGCGAGTATGAATATGAGTATGAGTGGGTCTGAGTTCGAGTGAGTCGAAGTATGCGTGAATCTGAGGGTGAGTGGGTCTGAGTGTGAGCGAGTGTGGGTGTGAGCAAGGTCTTGTGTGAGTGCGTCTGAGTGTGACTATGGTGGGTGTGAGTCTGAGTATGGGTGGGTCTAAGTACGACTGAGTTTGCGTATGGGTGGGTCTGAGGGCTGGTGAAGCTGAGTGTGAGTAGGTCCCAGTGTGAGTAAGTGTAAGGGTGAGCGAGCCTGAGAGTGAGCGAGTTTGAATGTGAGTGAGTTTCAGTATGAAAGAGTCTGGGTATGAGTGAGTCTGAGTATGGTTGGGTCGGACTTGGATGAGTGATTGCGAATGAGGAAGATGTGCTAATGAGCAAGTCTGAGTGTGAACGCGTCTGAATCAGAAAGTGGGGGAGGAGGCGGAGGAGGTGAGTGCGCGAGTGAAGTCCGGAGGCGTTTAGTCAACACGAGTCCAAAGGCAAACCTGTGGGGCCGACGCAAGCAAACCGCTTGAGACGTCCCCACAATGTGGGCACCGTGGGGTGCTGGAACCAGCGTCCCGCTTGAGGCATCCTCACGATCTCCGCTGAACGCAGACGAGTGTGGCCACCAAAACAAGCAAACCGCGTGAGACATCCCCACAATCTGGGCGCGAACGGGCCCGTGGTCTACCCCCTGACGGCCCCCCTCGGGGTGCTGGAGCCAGCGCCTTGTTTGAGCCATCCTCGCAGTCTGCCTCACGCGTAGACGAGCTTGGCCACTAAAACAAACAAGCCATTTGAAGCATCCCTACAGCCTGGGCGCGGACGGGTCCGTGATATACCCCCTGGCGGCCCCACATGTGGTGTTGAATCCAACTCTTCGCCTGAGACATCCCCAGAATCTGCTCTGAATGCTTACGAGTTTGGCCACCAAAACAAGTAAACCGCGTGAGACATCCCCACAACCTGGGCGCGAACGGGCCCGTTATATACCCTCTGGCGGCTGCCCCTTGTGAGTGCTGACGCCAGCGCCTTGCATGAGACATCCTCGCAATCTGCCTCGAGCGCAGATGAGTGTGCCACCAAGAAAGGCAAACCGCTTAAGACGTCCCCACATCCTGAACGCGAACGGGTCCGTGATGTACCCCCTGGCGGCCCCTCCTTTGGGTGCAGAAGCAAGCGCCTCGCTTGAGACATCCCACAATCTGCTTTAACTGCAGACGGGTTTTGAAACCAGAACATGCAAACCGTTTGAGACACCCCCGCAATCTGGACGGGAACGGGCCCGTGATATACCCCCTGGCTACTTTCCTTTTGGGAGTGCTGAAGCCAGCGTCCCGCCTGAGACATCCTCGTTCCCTGGGCGCGAACGAGGCTCTGAGTGTGAGTGAGTATGGTTGTGAGTGAGTGTGAGTGAGCCTGGGTGTGTGTGTGTGTATGTGTCTCTGATTGTGATTGAGTCTGGGTGTGAGTGAGTCTGAGTGCGAGAGTGAGGCTGAGTATGAGTGATTCTGAGTATGATTGAGTCTTAGTGTGAGGGAGGAAAAGGAGGAGAGGGAGGAGGAGGAGAAGGGGTGCGCCTGAGTAATAACAGGAAGCTCATCTAGGGAAACCGGGAACAACAGCAGTCCCATGTTAGGATACGGGGAATAGTGTAGTGTCAATACATCTATTAGCAGCTCGGGCCCCGAACAGTGTGTTTCGAGCAACCGGTGTCGTGCTATCTATTTGGAGCCATCGTTGTGGTGCAATATATGGGGTGCAATTTTTGTGGTGACATTTATGTGGTGCAAGTTACAGGGTGCAACCTATAGTGTGCAACCTACGATGTGCAATATATATATATGTGTGTGTGTGTGTGTCGTGATTTGCCAGGTGCCGCTTATGCGGCGCAAGGCATGTGATACAATTTACGTAAAGCAATCTATGTTGTGCAATCTATGTGGTGCAGTTCATGTCTCTTCGCTGTGAGTTGTCCACTCCATTGCTCGCGCAGTCATCCCACCCAACCACCAGCTTGCAAAACCAACGCGGCGGCGATTGCGATGACTGCCTGGCGCTGGTTGGCGCATCGCTGCGGTCGCGCTAGCGCGCTCAGGCTTGCGCGCACAGCGGCCAGCTAGTCAGACGCGACCGACGCGGCCGCGGTGGCGCTGACCGCTGACCGATGTCGGC